ATGATACATCGTTATAGATTTCTCTTTCTCATGTGCCTTGCAGAATTTAATGAAGAGTTTATGGTTTGATTGCATAAATCTTGCGTTATGTATGGCTCCGTGATGACAAACTTGTTTGATATGAACAATTTTTTCAGTTGCAACAATCTATTAACTTTTTTTTTCGATGGCATGTTTGGTGAGTAATACTAAATGGGATAAAATAAAATTTTAATTCGGGAGTTACAAAGAGAGAGAGCCTTGGCGAAGTCGAGAGAGAAGTTACAGCGTTGATTTAAAAAAATAAAAGGTCAACATTAATTACTGAAGAATTAGTTAACATCCTCATTGCAGTTCATGGATCCAATGTAATTCACAAAGATTTATTAGAAAATGTTAGAATTAAAAGAACTAATAGAAATAATTAGTAGAAGAAAAATTTGAAAATAAAGGAACAATCGTATAATAATTGCAAAATAATAATACTGCGGAGCGATGAGATCAATTGTAGATAAGACTGAAGTGGGATGAAATGATTTCTCACTTATCCATAGTTGTAGATTTCAAATTCAACTTAGAAAGAGATTCAAATTTAAAATTTGAATTTTCTCACTTATCTTTAATAGCATCCTGCTTGATGCAGTGTGTCATCAACACAGTCTGCATGCTTACAAAGAGCAGCCAAGCATATTGCTTGTATAGGTGAACCGTTGACATGCAAAGTGCTCGCCACCTGTGACTCATTCCACTTAACGCCTCTAACTTTAACTGAATTATCGAGATTTTATTTATAAACATACAATTTAGAATAATGCTACTTTGATAGAAGAAAACTAACGGAAGTAGTGCCAAAATCCTAGGCGGCATGAAACGATTTGATAGAAAAGATTATTGTGTTTTAAACAGTCAAATGATAGAACGTTATGTAACATTATGTCAACTATTATGTCGAGTATATTGTATCATAGTTGTACAATTTATTGGTGCCATAAACTGGAAAAGTAACTTTAAAGCATTATATCATACACCTTATTGGTATTGCTTTTAATGGCAGCATTTTGCGAACAGTCACTCCGATTCGCTCTCTCGTGTCCATAATGTCATTCCTAGCAATCTCGTCAATTTCCCAATCAAATTCATGCAGTAATGATCCGAGTACAAGATGCAGCATACGGTGGGCCAAAGGAATTCCTGCACAAATCCTTCGTCCAGCGCCAAATGGAATCAATTCGAAATGCTGCCCCTTGTAGTCAATTTTTGAGCCCAAAAATCTCTCTGGCTTGAATGAAGATGGCTCATCCCAGCAATCTGAATCCCTTCCAATTGCCCACGCATTTACAAAAACTTGAGTGTTTTTGGGAATGTGATACCCCATGAAATCGGTATCTTGAGTAGCCTTTCGAGGGACTAGGAACGGAATTGGAGGATGCAATCGGAGGGTTTCTTTCACAACAGCCTGTAAGTAGGGCAAATTCTCGATGTATTTCTCTTCGAATTTGTTGTTCTTTCCAATTACCTCTGCAAGTTCATTTTTGACCTTGATCATTGTTTCAGGATGGGATAGGAGCTCGACCATTACCCATTCGATGGTGCTGCTGGTGGTTTCTGAACCTGCTAAAAACACCTCCTGCAACCAACGGAAAATACGGTATGACGTGGTAGTTTGTTTTATCAATCAAATTTTAACAAGTTCGTAGTAGTAAGATATGAAATGTGATTAATTCGTTGGAATTTGGCACAGGCATACCCCGGAAGCTATATTCTAATTAATTTGTTGCATCTGTTTTCCCCAGATAACTGGCCTCAATAGATCACATAACCAGAGACAACAAATATTTGGATGTCCAAAACATAAGATTTTCTCTGAATCATAAAATAGAAATCTTTCGAAGAATATTACCATTATGATTATATTGAGGGCATGATTTGATATTTTCTCGGGCTCATCCTTTCCATTTCCTTCAAATTGTAGCAAAACTTCCAGGTAGTCCTTTTTTTCTTTACCATCTTGCCGTTCTTTCAACCTCTCTGCAACAAATCCCGCAACAACTTTCAATGTTATTCCTTGATCACGATCCATCTTTCGTTTCAAACCTTGTGGATCGAGCCATTTGAGCCACGGGAACAAGTCAACTATGTTTGGATGGCCTGACCACTCCATTAGCCCCATCATAGCTGTGAAGAATTCTGATCCCTCTTCCGATTGTGGATCCACCAAGTCACGCGATAACATGAGGTTCCCCAGCATGTTGAATGAGGCCAGAAACACAAAGCGGGCCAAATGAATCCCCCCTGATTCTTTGGCTGAATCGGATTCCTTTTCAATCCACTGGATCATATCATTAATGCATCTTTGCCGAATGGATACAGTTTCATTGATCCTTTTGTTGACCAACATTTCTACTGTCATTATGCGCTTCATTACACGCCAATATGCCCCATAAGGGGCTAGCGACAATGCTGCCTTATTGAAGCCATTGGATTTCATGACCTCAGTGATAGTGCGTTCCACAAAGGTTATATCGTGGTTCTTGAAGAGCTCTGTGGCTGCCTTTGCGGTGAGCACTGCCATGGTGTTTATGGAACCGATCCTGAACCAAACAACAGGACCGTACTCTTTCCTTAGGTTGGCTATGGTTTTATGTGGCATGGCACCAAGTTGGAACATGTTACCAAACACTGGCCATCCTGGGGGGCCAGGCGGCAGCCGCATGGACTTGGATTTCATCCGCTGGCGTAGGAGGACCAGGGCTGGTGCCAAAATGACAATGCACCAAACAAAAAATTTCAATACCAAATCCATGTCTGGCAAAGTCTGGTAAGTTCTTGTTATTGAACCCCTTTTTGTGCTTTGGATGTATCGAAGTTTCATTATTTATAAGATAGCCTGCTGGGACTACTTTTTAATGTTTATTTGCTAAAATTTAATAGCGTGTTAGCTAACTTTGATGTTACTATGAAATTTGTTTATTGTTAGTCAACTTCTGCTAGCCTTCTTTATTATTTAGCTGATTTGTCTGCATTCTAGAACGAAGCAGGGAATCCTGCAAGAATCTATGCTCAGGGGACTCTCCCTCCCTTTATTTATGAACAATTTCTGGACATTAGTTCTCGTAGATAGTCCTTCTTCAGTCGTCCATGAGCTGCGTGTAATATTTATTTAATAATTGGCATCCAACATTTTGCTATATGAAAAGACCGCCTGCAATTATTCGTTTAAATCCGCAATTTTCCTGTCTTCATTAATAATTAAATTCCCCTTGTATTGGATGTTATTTGTTTATCTTACATTATACCACCAGTTAGTTAACTCTTGAATACGAATCTTTCAAGGGAATATGACAATATGTGAAATAAAGTAGTGTAAAACTGTCGCATGAATTTTTTTTAACTGTACTTAAAAAAGTCAAGAGCATCTTTTGGAACAGTCATCATTTTTAATGTAACAATAAGAGCCCATTTAGTATAGATTTTGCTTTCACTTTACGTAGGAGAGTTTTTGGAGAATGTTATCTCAATTTTTGTTTGAAAACTAATTTTTAAAAAGCTTCTTATTTTAGAAGTGTTTTTATAGAGTCACACTAAATCGGTTAGAAAAAACATTTTCGATTACAAAAGCTACTCCAAATGGGCCATAAACGTGTTTTTTTTAGGCTAAAAGTACAAGACATCATCAGGGGCGGACCCACATGGGGTCATGTAGGGTCAAATGACCCCACAGTTTTCTGGAATTTTTTTTTTTTTTTTTGCTGAAAACTTAATTTTTTGCCCCAAAAAATTCAAATCCTAAATCTATATCTGATGCTACCAAAAATCGTACCTGTAGATTTCCCGAGCTTGATGACTGGTGAGGAGCACGAACGTGATCTTCCGATACCTG